AGGCCAGGAGTTCGAGACCAGCCTGGACAGCATAGCAAGACCCCATCTCTAAATAAAACACAAAATAATCAGCCAGGCTTGCTATTGTGAGCCTGTAGTCTCAGCTACTCGGGAGGCTGAGGCAGGAGGATCGCTTGAGCCCGGGAGTTGGAGGTTGCTGTGAGCAAGGCTGCCGCCACAGCACTCTAGCCGGGGCGACAGAGTGAGACTCTATGTCAAAAAAAAAAAAAAGGGGGCTCTTAGCAAATGCAATCTATAGTTCTTTATGCACGAAATGCTTCCAGCAAGCTTTGCATCTCCTGGGTGGCTTCTCCCTGCACAGACAGACTCAAGTTTCCCGACTTTCCCAAGCACTCCCAGGCCCCCGGCCCGGCTCCCTCATCCCTCTGTTTGATGAAATCACTTCATTATCTATTTTCAAATCAGATTAAACAGAAGCAACATTTCTGGGCCTAGGCCGGGGTGACGGGTCATTTCGCACGTAGACGCCGTGAGATGTCACCACGTCGGGTCACAGAGACGCTTCGCTTTAAAGACAGTCGGGCAAAGAGCTAAATCGGGAGACATTCCGGTCACGGAGAGTGGCCACACACACGGTCCAGAAACTCCGCACCGGCTCAGGCAACGGACGTTGCACTTTAACGGTTATTGTGTGTTTTATTACGTGACGAAGCACCGAAGGGTTGGCCTGCAGATGCGTGTGTGTGCGTGTATCTGTGTATGTGTCACATATGTGTATGGGTGTATGCACACACCTGTGTATGCATATACGTGTGCGTGCATGCGTGTATACACGTTTATGTGCATGTCTTTTGTATGCATACATGTAAATATGTTTATGTGTGCATGAATATGCACATGTATGTGTATATTTGCGTGTATATGTGCACATGTATATGTATTTGTGTTTGCATATGTGTGCATGTATGTGTGTGTAAATGTACAAGTGTGTATGTTAATATGAATATGCACACGTGTGTATATTTTTGTGTATGTGTGCACATGTATATGTATATTTGCATGTATGTGCATGTATGTGTATGTGTATGAATATGCATGTGCATATGTGCCTATGTATGTTTTGTGCATTTGCATATGTGTGCATGTATGTGTAAATGTAATATGCATCTGTGTGTATATTTGTGTGTATGCGTGCACGTGTATATGTATCTGCGTATGTATTTGTGCATTTGCATATGTATTTTTCATTTGCATATGTGTGCATGTATATGTGTAAATGTACATGTATGTGTATATGAGTATCACGTGTATGTGTATATTTGCACATGTATATGTATTTGTGTATTTGTGCATTTGCATGTGTGCATGTATGTGTATGTGTAAATGTACATGTATGTGTGTATGAATATGCGTGTGTATATGTGCACGTTTATGTATTTGTGCATTTGCATATGTATTTATGTATTTGCATATGCATTTGTGCATTTGCATGTGTGAATGTACATGTGTATATGAATATTCACGTGTATGTGTATTTGTGCATGTGTGCACATGTATATGTATTTGCATATTTGTATATGTATTCGTGCATTTGCATATGCATGCATGTATGTGTATATGTGAGTGTACATGTATGTGTGTATATGTATATGAATGCGCACCTGTATGTGTGTATATTTGTGTGTATGTGTGCACGTTTATGTATTTGTGTATATGCACGTGTGTGCATGTATATGTCTGTGTCTGTGTAAATGTACACGTATGTGTATATGTATGCGTGCATGTAAGAATGTGTGTGTGTGTATTTGTGTGTATTTAGTGTTCTCTTGTGCCCGACCTGGCCCGTGCAGACTCTGACGATTGTCCTGGTTTGCAACGCTTCCTAACCTCTCGTGATCAAACTGGGTTTAAACTGTGCGGGAACCGACTACACCGCACCCATCTGAAGTCCCCGGGGAGAGACCCAGGGCCCCGTTTCAGCGAAAACACTTTATAACGGAAGAAGAGACGACTCGGCCCGCGGCGCGCTCTCGCACAAACACCCCGACTCCGGTTCAGCTGAGGGTTCCAACTGGTCTGCATTCGCTCTCCGGCTGGACAGAAACTGCCGGCCAGACAGATTTCTTTGTTTATATAATTGCACATTCTTTTTTTTTTTTGAGACAGAGTCTCACTCTCTTGCCTGGGGCTAGAGTGCCGTGGCATCAGCCTCGCTCACAGCAACCTCCAACTCCTGGGCTCAAGCGATCCTCCTGCCTCAGCCTCCCATGTAGCTGGGACTACAGGCATGCGCCACCGTGCCCGGCTAATTTTTTCTATTTTTAGTTGTTTGCCCAATTTCTTTCTATTTTTTAGTGGAGACGGGGTCTCGCTATGTTGCCCAGGCTGGTCTCGAACTCCTGACCTCAAGCGATCCTCCCGTCTTGGCCTCCCAGAGTGCTGGGATCACAGGCGTGAGCCACCGCGCCCGGCCCACATTTTTTTTTTTTTTACTTAGAAGCATCCGTGGAGGACAGAATAACCGAGAAGGGAGAACGATGGGGGTGGGCTGGGGCTAGATCAGAGCTCTCCACGCCCCAGGGACACTCACCGTGGTCGTGGGCGAACACCAGCAGGTCCAGCCCGGTCAGCATCTGCGCCAGCTCATCGTAGCGGCCACAGTGCTCTGCGGCTCCGTGCGACACAAAGATGAGGGCCCTGGGGGGACAAGAAGAAAGCCCAGTTGGAAAAGGCCAGCTCTTTGAGCAGCACGTGAGCTTCCGTGACATCGGCAGG